ATTGTCATTGTTTATAATGCTCATAAGCCTACATGGATGTCAATGACATATATTTAGAAATCAAAATAAAGCTTTAGGAAGATCTTCAATTTAATGGAAAGTAATCTAGTCATTTGGGAACCACAAGAGCTCTTTAGGGAAAATCTGCCTCTGCATGCTGGAGGAAGTGTGGGTGTAGTGGAGTCCCGGTGACACCTTGTGATGTCAGTCATCCCCAGGCTTAGGCTGATTGGCTGTGAAGAACTGAAGCAGAGTTTAAATTCTTGTGCCATCAGAGAAGTGCTCAGAGTATCAACACGAGTGACTTCACTGAATGCTCTGCAAGAACTTCAACTTGATTTTTGAGACTTTCGGGGAAAAGTCTTTGCGAACAGAGGAAGGTAAAAACAATTTTATATTTTAATTTTTTTATGACTTTGTTGTGTTGATTGGCAAATATGAAATGTGTATACTTGTTGAGAGAGATGTTTTGCCATGCAGAGAGAGATATGAAGAGCTGCGCCTAGGTTAAAATAATTCCTATTTTTGTGCCTGTTGTGTCATAGCAATTAATGACATTAAATGACAGGTAAGTCACTCAAACCTGGTGCTTTCTTTGTGAAAAACAAAGCTGAAATGGAGCTACAGCACTCGACTGCTAACTACAAGGTTAGCAGTTCAAACCCACCAGCCACTCCTTGGAAACCCTATACAGGGTTGGTATGAGTCAGAACTGACTCATCAGCACTTAACAACAACAACAACAACAACAACAATAGTACTTCCGAAGGAGACAATAGTTATTTTTAAATTTAACTTTAATTTTTGTTGTTGTTGTTAAGTGCTGTCGAGTCAGTTCCAACCCATAGCAATTCTCTATAGGGTTTCCGAGGAGCAGCTGGTGAGCTTGAACCACCGACTTTGTGGTTCAAACTGACTTTGCAGTCCAGTGCATTAACCCACAGTGCCACACCAGGACTCCAGCTTTAATTATCAAAACAATAAAACTTTTACATTTAGATTTCATAGATGGCAGGATGTTCATGGCTTACAAGACACTGTGAAAGAATCTAAACTATATTGTCAGGACTTTCATTATCAAATCTTTTCATTGAAAACCAGTTAATGCTATTCATCTAGAGACATTCAATAATACGTATTGTGAATGAAAGATGAAGTAAACCAAAGGTATGAAAATTATAATACTTTTGTACTGGTAAACTGGGTATTTGTGTTAGCATAATGCCTTGCATACAGTCAGAATTCAATAAATGCTGAATTGAATGATCTCTTAAAACATTTTCTATTGGGGAAGACTTATGCGTATATGCACTGTTGTCCGTATGTATTTTTATTTTCTGCATTTATTGCAATTCTTCATCTGTGTCAGAAGAGTTTGTCTTCCACAATACAGAGTCCAAATTGTGGTCAAACAATGCTTTTCTGTATGACATCTAGAAGGTCCCAGGTATAATAGCAATTCTTCAAGCAACCTATTTTCTCTTGGAATGACAACTTCTGGTTAGCAAACATTCCTTTTAATTCAGGGTTTAGTAAATGAGTCCATATTAATCTTGGTGATTAAAAACATGTGAGCATTTTAAAGGGTATTAGCCAACTTACCTATCACAAAATGGTGGTAAGTATCAATATCTTCAGACCTTTCCAAGTCCATATTTAATTTCTGGGTACTCTAATTATTTTATGGTAATTGAATATGTTAGACTGATTGTAATTGATCTTATGAAAATACAATTGGGAATATTAGAACTTTTTATTGGTTTATTTGTTTAGTTCTCTGAATTTGGAGTTCATATCCAGGCCATATTTTACATTATTTTCAAAGGGTAATAAAGAAGCAAATTCTATCTGATGGAGGTTCTAGGTAGTTGGGATTTAAGTCATTTTACTTTTGCACGACCAACTTACTATTACTAATTCAATTGCTGTACCCTCAGCATCTAGAACAGTGTCTGTTATATTGTTGTTATTATTGTTAAATGCTGTTGATTTGATTCTGATCCATAGTGGCCTTGCATAGGGTTTCCAAGGAGCAGCTGGTGAGCTTGAACTGCTGACCTTGCAGTTCAAAGCGACTTCACAGTCCAGCACATTAACCCACAGCACACCTGGCATATAGAATGTTCTTAAATATTTTTTGGCTGTTAATGAATTTATTGTTCATTAGCATTATTGAGGATAACAATACTAAAGACATAAATTACCATATCAAGTCCATATTATTTTGCAAGGAAGAAAAAGAGTCTGATATTTTTCAAAGTCTGTTTCTTTATCCGCCTTTTATTTCAGTTCACATAAAAGAAAACTGAAAACTCAAATGTTTTAATTTTGAGGAATCTTTGCCAGTGAATCTTAATTTTAAGGAAATTACAGAACACATTTCCTTATTTAAGAGCTCAAAGAAGTTTTGGCTGCATTTGAAATCTGAACTGCGCTCCCTCATCCAGATTCTAAGTGTTTTCTTTTTTTTTTTTTCCAACTCAGAGCATGGGGTGGGGGGACGGGGCAGCACTGGAGAATTAGAAGAGTTGAAACTCTTTCTAATATGGCGCCTTGGAAACAGGTAGAACTCAAATCATAGCTGTTGATATTCCTGACTCCATATCTCATATAGTTTAGGTTTAGCTACTTTGCTAATTTCTTACTCAGAATAAGGCTACTGCTTATTTGCTTCTATTATTCTTTTTATGTTAATAGTTGATATTCATAAAAGTTTGGGGCTTTTACTTGGAAATTAGATTGCATAAAAGTATAATCAGTATTATAAAAATACTAACTGAAAACCTAATACAGTGTTCAAGATCTGACTTCCTTTTATGATTACAGGGAGACTATATTGGCATTGGACTGTGAACCACAAGGTCAGTGGTTTGAACCCACCAGCTGCTCCTCAGAAACCCTATACAGGGTTGTTATGAGTCAGAACTGATTCGATGGCATCTAACAACAACATTTTTGTTTGTTTGTTTTTGAGGCAACATCAATTCTCTCAGAATCTCAAAGTTGATTTTATTCTTATTTCCATTCTCATTTGAGAAATTATTGTTGGAGCCCCAGTAAGTTAATGCATCTCTCTTATTTCCATCAATAAATAACATTAACACAGGAAGCACCCTTAGTAAACAACTCATCATTCATAAGTTTAGAAAAATGCATGGTTACCACTTCACACTGTTTCGTAATTTAAATAAGAAAGAGGGAAAAGATAATACACGAGAAGAACTCAATGTTTATTGGCCTTTTATCAATATTGAGATATTTACTAGTTTTCAGAGTGTTTTAAGATAACCACACTACCTAAACTTCACTTTGATAATTACAGTGGTGGCCTGATTTTCATTTAATCTGCGATGCTGAAGCCATTGACATGTTATTGTTTTGAGGGTGTCTTATTTGGACAAACGTTCCTTTGCTTAATAAATTAAGCTAAGAATTTACTATGCTTCATTAGAATAAAGAAAATAATACAAACTAAGAGTGACTATAAAGAAGAAGGGTGATGCCCATGATGTAAAATAAGCAATAACAACAGCATTTGAGTTGTATGAAAGTACTGAACTGAAGGATGGTTTTACTCTTCTTTATCGTAGGGTTCCTAATGCTTTCGGGAACATAGTTTTTAAAAGATTAGTTGACTTATTGAAATCAATGTTTCAGACTGTTCATTGAGCAATTAACGGTTAAAATCACTTGGTGCACTTTGAAACTAACCTATCCCTTTGCCCATCTCCAGCTAACTGATTCCCACGATACTAATAATATACAGTCAAGGTTTGAGAACTGTGGGCTTAGATCACTTGCTACTAGTACAGTAAGTAACATTTTAAGAAATAAATTTGCAGATGCAAAGTCTGAAATGAACTTTCAGGATCTTCTGCAAAATGTATGGACGTCCATCTGATAATTATGCTAGGGCAGCTGTCGGGGCACACTAGTAATCCAGAGGCACGTTGTTTTCCTTTTAAATCATTTCAATGACTGTTTCTGTTAGAATCGAGTACAACTATTTTTAGATATTGAACAATCATTTTTCCAAATCCCACCAGTTCTTGAAGTGTGAAATGAAGCCACCCCCCAGGAAAGTACAGTTTGATTTGGTGTGCTTTTCTAAGAATGGTTCACAAACCTCTAATCTTCTCTAGCTCCTTTGGCATCATGAATGGCAAAAGAATTTAGCACAGTCATGTGTAATGTATGACTAAAAGGCTCACAGTAGTTATCAAGAGATTTCTGAACTGTAATATGAAGTCTACCATAGTGCTGCTCTTACAGACCAAGAGAAAAAAACACACAGCAAAAACAATGCATTTTGTCTAGACATTAATATGTGATTGCAACTGTGACTTAGGAGACATTTGTGTATGTGTGTACATCAAGAAAAATGCTCAATGTGGTGTCAATAAATGTAGAGGGAATACATGTGTCGGGTTGTTTTGAAAAAGTATTATGAATGTGATTGGTCGGAAATTTCTCTATTCCTGTTTCTTTTGTGTAAAATATTTTTTTGTGTGCCAAATTGTTCCCATTTTTATTGTGGTAAGTAGACCACAAAAGATCTATATTTCTATATTCTTCACATGTGTACATGTGACATTAGTCATACTCAGCATTATTCCTTCTTTATGCCTTCTCTTCTTAGATATTAAATGTTAGGGAAGAAGGGCTCCATATTTGAAAAGTTTTTAATTTATTTCATAGGAGTGAGTTGTTCTGTAAACAACATAGAAAAGATGTTGAAAAGCGAAGCTCCGTGTAATACGTTGTTGTTGTCGGGTTCGACTCATAGCAACCCTGTACAGGGTTTCCGAGGCTGTAAATCTTTACAGGAGCAGAAAGCCTCATCTTTCTCCCGCAGAACGGCTGATAGTTTCGAACTGCCCACCTTGAGGTTAACAGCCTGATTTGTAACCACTATGCTACCAGAGCTCCTTTGTATGGTTTGTTAGCATGGAGGAAACCATCTATGTCCTTTATCACAGGAAGAAGAGTCCCGCTTGGCTATGAAGACCTGCCTTGTGCTTGTGTTCCTCTGGGGGTTTTCCTGTGCTCTTCCGGTAAGTAACAGATTCAGAATATATGAAACACTTCTACAGCTAAAACTCCACAATTTTCATTTGCAAAGAACCAAGGTGACTGTTTAAAAGAGCCTGTTGTGGCGTTGTAGGATAAGCCCTTGACCACAAGATCGATTTGAACTGCAATGTCGGCGGTTCAAACTCACCAGCAGCTCATTAAAAACCCTATACACAGTCGTTATAGGTAAGAACTGACTCGAAGACAGTTAACAACAAGGTTACTATGTTCTGCTACCATGCCATTGGATTGATTCCAATTCATAGTGACAATACAGATAAGACAAAACAAAATGGTCTCATAGGGTATTATAGGCTATGTTCTGTTGTTAGGTGCCATCGAGTCGGTACCTACTCATAGTGACCCTATGCACAATAGAACGAAACACTCTCCGATCCTGGGCCAACCTCATAATCATTGCTACGTTTGAGTCCCCTGCTCTAGTCAGACCGAATGAGTGATTTCTTAGGAAATTGTTCTTTTTAAAACATCATCCAAGTTATTCCTCATTTTGCTCAGGGGTCTTACATACAGCCCTATGAGTCTCATTTTTTCTTCTCCATAAACACTGACTCTCAACGTGCCCTTCCCAACCAGCAGCATCAGCATCAATGAGGTCTTTGTTAGCAACGCAAATTTTTGTGCCCTGCGGTAGACTTAAGGAAGCATTACCTCTAGGGGTGGACCATAGAAATCTGCGTTTTAAAAAATCTTCCAGGTGATTCTGCTGCATGCTGAAATTTAACTAAGTAAAGGAACTTTTACTAAGTAAAGGCACCCTGATGGTACTGTTGGATAAGCACTGGACTGCTAACCACAAGGTTCAGCAGTTCAAACCCACTTCTCCTCAGGAGAAAGATGAGGCTATCTGCTCCCATAGAGATGTAATCTCAGAAACCTTATAAAGAGCTGCTATGAATTGGAACTCTGGTAGCATAGTGGTTACGAATTGGGCTGTGAACCTTAAGGTCAGCGGTTCGAAACTACCAGCCGCTCCGTGGGAGAAAGATGAGGCTTTCTACTCCCGTAAAGATTTACACCCTCGGA